AAAATACTTCATTGTTTGCAGAGTATTCCATTAGGGCGTCCCTCATAATCATGAAGGTGTCGGTACGTAAAAATCCCGTAAATTGTTATTATTCGTAATATTTTTGGCTTTAGCAAACAGTGTCAAGCACAAGAGCTTCTTTGAAAGAAATTGGGCTGACAACATGATAAACTCGTATCGCATTGCTTATATTGCAGCGCAATAACTGGAGCTTGCTACATATGACTTATAAGCAGAAGCACGCAGGTATATCCTCTTCCCTGAAATTCATTCTGTAAATCTGCTGCCTAATGTGGACGCTCAGGCAGTTTCGCCGCGGAACGATCCCCATTAACGATTGCCAGGGACTGAACAGGCAAGAAACTAAAACAAAGTGGCCGCTGTTGCAGTGTGAACCGATTCTGCTGCTGTTATGACATCACTGTCGTATAATAACAACCAGCGGAAAGGATCACCACCCAGCCCGCATAAGGAAGCTTCATCGTGGGCTCACGGCGTGTGACCTCAAGAATACCTTATCCCTCGCATGCACCAGTCAGTTTTCGCGCGCAAATCGCACAAGCAATCGATCTTTGAGTATTTGATGCAATAAGTGGCGTCACTAGACGTGCTTGTTAGAGTCATTATTGCATGCCGAAGATGTGCTTACGAAATGGGACAGAGAGAGAAAGACAAAACACTTATATAGAGAAAACATACAAGGCCAAGGCAGTGAGGTGTGTAGTAATGAATTTTCTTGAGGCAAAAGACACGAAGGAGGGCGATTAGTGAAAGTGAGTATACTATATGACAGTTTCGACATGCAGCACTTTGAAAATGGCTTTAACTAAAGAGAAAGCAAAAAAAGCAAAAAAAAAACTGTTTAAGTGCGGTGAACAGAGATATTGCGTTATGACTATAGTGCGAAAGCGCTCTATAACTACTCTCTGCCATGTGTACACGTTGGTTCTATAGAGTACTGCGAAACATTTTACTGGGAAGAAAAGGGGGAGGAAGAATAAGAAAAGGCCCGAAACGAGACGTTGCCCCTGTTTCTCCCCATCTTGTCCTCGTTTTTATTATTATGGGGGGTTTATTGTTCTAAAACCCCCATATGAATATGAGAGACGCCATGGTGGAGGGGTCCGAAAATTTCGACCACCTGGAGTGATTCAACGTGCTCTGAAGTGTGAGAACATGGGCCTACGGCTTTTTTGCCTTTATCGAAAATGCAGCCACCGCAGCAGGGATTCGATCCCACGACCTGCGCTTCAGCAGCCGAGTGTTTTACCCCTTAGACCACCACGGCGGGCCTGTCCTCATTTTTGCCAATATATGGTTTCACAGTATCCACAAGTAGTTACTAGCACAGCTGTCAAAACTTGGTGGGGCTTTAGAGTAAGCGCGTCTGTACTCTCATTTTGCTACCACGAACGGAAGCGCTGTGCGGTACCTCACTATCTTCGCTTTCTGCTACTCGGTCAAATTACGCAAGTAGAAAATTATATATGTTTAACGTTTGCGATCTGTACAATGACTGGATACATGTCTTATGTGCCTTATCAGAAGTTACCGTAGTAGCTGCTCTAAATTTACGTCACCGCGCTTTTCTGGCAGCATAACATGCCAGCGACATTTAGAGAATAATGGCTGTGCTATTGAACACAAGAAATGCATTCTTGGTCTTTCTTGGAGACACTGAAACCAGCCGAATTTTCAGCTAACTTGTTATTCGGAGTGCCTGTGTTTGTTCAGCGTGCACACCCATTGTGTACGAATGGGAAATTTCACGCAGCTCTCACCATTCCAAGTAGCTACTTCGCGTCGAACACAGCCGAGCGTGGAATTCATTATTCGAATCACGTTTCTTTCTTCATATTTTGTAAGCAAAAAACGGAAACTTTTACCTGAGCCGTTTCAACTGATATGAAGAAATGCAACACTGAACCTCAAAAGGCAAGATTCAACGCGAAATACCGAGAAGTCACTGACATGTCAGCTGTAGCGCCATCCGAATAATAAAAGAAAACTCTCGATCGGCGAAGAAACCAGACCGAACACCGTTTCTTGTTTCCAACTTCTTCTTCTTCTCTTGTAGTACTAGCCTGAACACGTTTATTTCTTTTCTTTTCCAACATACTAAGCCCCCCAGTAGCGTCGCTCAATTCCAGCCTGTACAATTTCTGTACTGGTTTTCTGAAAAATTTCCCGTCTTGAGCTTTCACTCAACGAGCTCGTATTATACCATCTTGTCCAGGGTAAACGTCTGTGATTCGCCCAAGGGGCCAAACTCCTCTGGAAATGCCAGGCTATTTGATTATCACCACGTCATTTACTCAGAGGCAGCTGCTGGGATGAGCTCGGTACAGGTGAAGTGCCCGTAGTTCTAATAAATACTCTTTTTTTCCATCGCATTCACATATGATCCATCATCTTCTGTCGGTATCTCAACTTCTTGCTGATGTCTCTTCGATTAGCTCGACCACTGATGACATCATGGTGATTGTTGCTTTGCTCCGGAGGCTCTAACAATCAACGTCCAACAAGAAAATGCGCTGGACATACCAGAGAGCACTCTTTGGCGTCCGTATACGTGCACGTCAGTGGTCGTGAATTAACAACCGCTTCTACCTCTAGTAGCATCTTCTCAGTTTGTTCGCTGCTGAGTTTGCTCTTTCCCATCACCTTGCGCAACGATGACTTGACAGTCCAGACAAGCCTCTCCCACCAACCGCCCCACCAAGGTTCACCTGGCACGATAAACTTCCACTCTATGCGGTAGGTCAGCAGACAAGATGCGAATGGAGAGCTCTTCGTGACACTCCAGATGTTCCTGAGGTCCCTTGACGCTATCTTGAAAGGGAGAGCGTTATCTGAGTACATTGTTGCGGGTACTCCACTGCGAGAAAAAAACTTCCGGAACGCTAGATAGAAGGCGCTGGTCTAAATCGCACTCATTCGTTCACGGTTTACTGCTCTAGTGGTCACACAGGTGAACAACATGATATAAGCTTTTGATGTGTCACCATGGAGCTTATGTTGCTTTATATATAGTGGACCTGCAAAGTCCAATCCTACTACATCAAATGACCGTGACGATAGAAGACGGTCTTCAGGCATCGGCGTTCCCAGGTTTCACTTTGTATCTTAGGCAGAGAAAGCATTTGTTGGTGATTCGCTTGACTTTTTCTCGAGCGCGGATGATCCAATGCCACTGTCGTATTCGCATCATAGTACTTGTCATACCACCATGCAAAGCTCTGCAGTGAGCCTCAATCACTACCAGAGACGTGGAAGGATGCCTCTGTGGCAGTATGACCACATGTTTTTCGTCATACGTGGCGTCCATTCTCTCGAGTCGTCCGCCAAGCCGAATCTGTCCATTTTGGTCCAAGAAAGGGTGAAGATCGATCAGCATAGACTGTTTGGGGAGAGTGTGTCCAAGCTACAGTTGTTCGACGTCCTTCGCGAATACTTCCAGTTAAACATATTGGACCCAAAACATGTCAGACTTGCTCCCATGGCAAAATTGCTTTTCTGAGTGAAGTATGAAGTCCACGGCATCAATCCACAAAGCAAAACACCCAGGCGGTGACGCGCAGGAGCTTCTGCAGGTCACTATTCGGCACCACTACTTAAAGGAAAACTCTCGATCGTCGCAGAAACCAGACCGAACACCGTTTCTTGTTTCCAACTTCTTCCTTTTCTCTTGGAATACTAGCCTGCACACGTTTATTTTTTTTTCTTTTCCAACAAATACGTTAAAAGATTTTTAATTGGGCACAATCTCAAGTCATTGTGCTTAGCCGTTTTGCATATTGTTGCAGGGCTATCGAATCGTGTCATTTGTGCACAGCATTCTTCTTGAATTTTGTTGAGAGCTTCTAATTATATCGGTACACTGAGGACTCCGTTGGAAAGTGAAACAACTTTGAAGTGCTTTATCTGCACAGAAGAGCGGGTACCAATTCAGTTTTCATCGACCCCTGCACAGTGGACCCTTATCGTTATTATCACTTAACGACTTTTTTGCAGTAGATAACTAAAGTATTCGCAGTACTTTTTGTATTTGGAAGTTCTCCAGCTGCTAAATCAAAGCAGAACCGAACGGTTTGTCAACGTCCAAAGCCACAGCCAACTCAATATCTCGCTTATTGAGCTCCAGCGACCTTGACTCATGATTGTTGTTATTTCAAGAAAAGTGGATGTATTTAAAAGTCAAACCTTTGAAAAGCATTCAATGCCTTCTTGAGGATAATTTATATGACGCTTGTGTGAGTTAAACATCGAATTTTGTCAGACAGAAAACTTTTGTACCAAGAAAACGTAGTGGACGGAAATGGTGACAACAGTTTTTTATTTATTAAAGCAAAAGCCTTAAAAGCCTTATTAAACACGAAAAACGACAATCTGCGTCTGCGCCAACACGATTCACGTAAGAATCTTCACGTGATGCCGCTATCATGTGGCGTCACCATTACGTCAGAGATCGCAGAAAATTGTGACGTCATATGTCGCCATCAGGACGTCACTATAGCGCAACGTAACGCAACGTCACAGGATGGCGTCATCACATGACATCATCGCTTGGCCCTAGAGTGACCGATCATGGAGGCACTGCTAAAATAGGTAAGACGCAGAATGGTCACAATGTCTCCGATCAAGGAGGCCATGCAAAGGCATGTTACGAGCAGAAATCTTTCGCAGGGAAGGGGAGTGGTAAATCAGTACAGTGACTGCGAGAAAAGAAAGATTGCTTCTCTTTTCTAGTCACCATAGGCGAATGCATACGGAACCCTGTGATTTTTTTTTTGAAGTTCGAGAAAAAAAAGGACGGAGCTGATTTTCAATACTCGGGCGCTGAGCTAAATATAGAGGAACAGAAGCAGAGAATGGCGTGCTCGTGCTACTGTTCCTTCGCCCATAGTTTCAAGCCATATTGAAATAGTTGAGTAAATATATGTACCAATAAGATCACAGCTCTTCTACAGTTTATGTCGCATATTTTTTTTTCTTCTAAGATGGCGTCGATGGCACTTCTCTTACTTCGAGAGGATTGGCATTCCGGGACCGAAACCAAGCCTAATCTGGGGAAATCTCAAGGAGTATCACTCTATGGTAAGATAGACTCATACATTGACTGATTCCAGTCAGGTGTGCAAAAGAGCAGTGCACGGAGGAACACAACACGCTTAAATATTTAATCAACTAACTAGCACTGTCGTTTGCGTAGCTTTCTGACAGCTCACGTCTATACTTGACACTCAGCAGTGGGAAAAATATGTGCTGATAATTTATTCTAATACATTGTAGAGCGAAAGCTATAGGAAAAGTGCAAAGTTGCAATCATACGTTGCTGTAAGGAAAAATGATCAAACAAAAACACAACAATTTGTTTGAAGACCAACGACAGAGGTATCATTCTTGCTCTCCACGACACTGTGTTTAGAGATACATATGACTTGCATAAAAAAATAAAGCACTCACAGCAATCGATCGCAGCAAGACCATTATTACGTTATCATACAAAAGAAAGAAAACAACACGAAAAGCAGATATGAAAGACACGTTAATGAGGTTTCGGTAAGAGCCCAGTATCTACGTAGGGATACGGCATCCAGAAAGAATGTTTAATACATAATTTGTAATTCTTTGCCAATAATGGACGTACCAGCGCTGGTCTACTTTCAAGGTGTTTGCAGCTTTGTGGACAGTGTCTTAACGCAATTTTTCTATTTCGATTCCAACAGGAGTTGTACAAAGTAATAGGAAAATGGCTCGAGCAATACGGGGACATTTTTGGGTAAGTGTGTGAAAAAGTTATTTTCGAGCGATTGTTGTCATAATGCGTGGTTGCCAGATTTAGCGCAATATCGCAAGCGAATATGCATCAAGGCAGCTTGTGGATGAAATTTTACAAAAACTTATTCTATTTCACTGCGCAGGTTCTACAATGGCGATGCTCCTTTTGTTGTGAGCAGAGACATAAATTTTGTAGAACACATCTTTGTACGAGACTTTCAGAACTTCGTTGATCGAGGTGTGAGTATTTGCAGGTTCCGTCGTGCAAACTTCTTACGGCTAGATTTGGTTGAAGTGGCTGCACATGTCGGCATATTTACAAGGTTTATAAAGTTTCATAATTGAAATGCTTGAGGTAAAATGCCTTGTTTTAGGTAAGAAAAAAAGTACTTTGGCTGATAACGCTGTTGCTTCTGTGCCAGCCTATTCATATAGCATCACTCATTTATTTGTCTTACAGTGTTTTGGCCTTTCACGCATGTGAAATGCAAAATCTGGCCTGCAGTCAGTTTGTGATATAATTTTGCACGTTTCATAACCTGCTACCATACACCGAAACTGAAGCAAACTTGCCGTCCGTCAAAACAATTATTGCAAGAAAGCTGGTATAGATCAAAATGATTCGATATTACCACGCATTGTGATTACATTGAAATAATAACATATTTTATATCAATGCGCCAATTCTGAACTTTTTAGTCCTCAGGCTAATACCAATATGTATTTGTTCTAAGTTTCTTGCGTTTCGTTGATTCAAGAAATCTTATTTCTTCACTATACCTACGTCATATTTGAGTTAAAATTTGTACTTAGAATGTACCACATTCATGTTTTAGTAGTATCATGGGTTCTTGCAAGAATGTATTAGCAGGCATAGCTCCAGCGCTGGTAGTATTTCTTGTCCCCCTCCCCCACCTTTGTGGGTGTGCGTGCGTGTGTGTGCCCCCATTCTTAGCACCACGACCCTTATCAGTATTGCAAGATAATATTTATCATGCACGTGAGTTCCTTTAACGTATGTGAAAGGAAGCCAGCGTCAGTTAAACATGCGTATGTACACAATCAGTTCCCAAACAGTACTGACTACTCACGATAATTTTTTTACAGATGATCCCTACATGAATCCCACTCAAATCCCACGTTACCACGCCTGTTCAAATCGATCACCGGTGATCGATGCTTTCAATCATCGAATTTTGCAACTTGAACCTAATTCTCGTGCGCCAGCACATTTTAGTAGCTAGTCCAGCCACTCAACTTTCAGAATCAATTTTAGTTTGTGCATTTCGGCAAGATAGCGGTTGCTGACAGACCATTGAGTGAACCCATGTGTGTACGCTGTTGGCAAATGTACTCGACTGGCGAACTAGACAGAAATGCGTGCCGCTCGTGGTTATGCTACAGCAACATCAAGTTTTTGTAATCGTAAGAACATTTGCAAGTCAAATATCAAAATAAGATGTCGGCTTCGCAATCCGGCAGTGTTGAGCTGTAATTGAAGCAGCACCTTGATATAAATTTTCTTTGTCTATGTGAATAGAAACATTCTGTGCAACATTTATAATTTTTTAAACATGTCCCTGGGTCACTTATCTCCAAAATGTATATTCTGAATTTTCTTTGTTTTGAATATTGTTGCACATAGTGTTTTTAACGCACTGTTTAGCAACTGGCAACCAAAATTCACACTGCTCACGTCTTTATTCATTCCAAATTATTTCTGTTGCTAACTCATATATCTTGGAAAGAGCATTTCATTGTGCAAAATTTGGTATGCCGCAATGCGGGCTGGATCACTTTTCCGACCGGCAAAAGATATATCTTCCAAATACATATAGGCAAGTTAGCCGTTTTCTCACGGTAACGGAAGAGTTAGGCGGTACCAGTAAAAGAGATGATCAGCTTGATGTATTCGCGTTTGAACACGAACACACCATTGAGAACAGCCGTGTTAATGGTTGTTGCTCCGTCAGAATTGTGACACATCGCTCATTGCTCTTAAAATACTGCTTCGGTATAGGCTTTGAGACCGAGCTTCTTGGCTGGGATGGTAACTGAAAGACAGTTTGTAGATTTTAACCGAGAGTTCACCGACTGTAGTCTCTCAAGCCGAAAATAAGTAAGCAACAAAACTCGCTAAATAGTATTGTTAGTGCATGCAAATCCTAACAGAAACACCTGTTTTGATAGGATGAATATTTCAGCGCTTACAATGTGGTCACAAATGTTTCTTCTCCTTACAGTTTACGATGATGACTGACCAAATGCATCCCGATTTGAAAAAGTCCATCATGCACATTGGAGGATCGCCTTGGAAAAGTATTCGGTCATCGGTGACCTATGGGATGAGTGCCAACAAGTTGAAGCAGGTGTACATAAAGCTACGATTTTAATGATGACCTATTAGTACGTGGCACGTACTCACGGTGAAGTATATGCCTAAATATTGGGGCTTAGGACACACTAACACGTAGTGAGAACATTAACAATTAAGAAGAAAAATATCTATTAACGCAATCGATTATGATGACTATAGACCCTTTCAATGTTTACAAATGCAGCCCCTTGAAGACATTCGGTTTTGTCCACAGATGTGCCTTAATAGCATCGGTGGACAACAGGAGCTCCTTTAGAAAATAGCCCGCTAATTTTGTACAATTACCTTCCCTTATTTGGTAAAATATATTCAAATCAATGTTTTTTAAGCAACATAAAAAGTATAAAACAATCCCTTGTACTTTACGCATGTTCCTTTTATCTGAAAAACGAAAGAGAAGCTTTTTGTGACCTTGAAAAGGACTTGAAAATGTGCTTTCAGTTTTGACGTTAGGAGCTGGTAAATGAGGTGACCGGAAATTTTTTTGGGTACAACGCTTGTGACCTTGAAACCGCCTATACAATTTAACTGGTTGCAAATAAAGAACCTCTGTAGTCTAAGACTAGAAAACATTAGAGTTGTATTGGTGAAGCTCTGGAATTGGAAACATCACGGTAACTAGCTTTGAACTACTATTTGACCACCGTGGTGGTGTAGTGGTGGAAGTGAAATGCCAGAAACCTGTGTACTTGGCGATGTCATTGCGTGTCAAAGAACAGCTGATGATTGAAATTTCTGGAGCCGTCTATTACGGTGTGCCTCATGATTTTATCGTGGTTTTCGCAAGTAGAAGCACAGGTAGTTTCAACGACATTTTTTTTTCTGTTTTGTCCTACTGGCTTGCAAAGCGTTGGCGGATCACGCAGACAGAGAAGCAAGCGCAAGTATCACAAGCGTTGATTGAAAATGCTTTTCCTTGAATGTAGGGAAGTTGCTGCATGCGAGAAACAGAATCGGTGACTATAAAGGTGTTATTTAGGCGGAGTGCAAACACTGCTCTCGCTCTCAAAACGAAGCAGATATGCGCGTGGAGCAGCAGAAGCCTACGTGCACGGAAAGAAACTTTAAAAGGAGCACCGAGACAAAAAGTCTGCACCTTTCTATTGTAATATGTAGCCTATGACCCCCTTCTTCCGGCTGGAAGCCTCGTTCGCACAAGTGTGCCACGGTTGTTTATTGAAAGACGTTCTTGGAGCGCCCAGTATCAGTTCCGGTTTCAAAGAGCACCGAGATAGCCCGGAGCAGTTTAGGGGGCAAGGTAAACACAGCCGGTCACGTGAGCACACAAAACACTGACGTTGGCACCGAAGTTATAGCTAGAACAGCGATCACTCGCGAAGCCACAGGCACGGAGGAGGAAATGAAAGGTAGTGCAAGCGCAAGGTGCATGCCAGCAACCAGCCAACACAATCTCAAGACGTAGGCTTGTTCAAATTGCCCCTGCGTTGATGTCGGTATCCCGGGGGGTTCCGCACCTCGCTCAGTGGCACGGCATGCACTTCAAAATTGATTTTAAATATGTCCTAGACTACATTTGCCCTTTACATCTCGTAGATGTTGTGTATGTCTCCACATAAGTCTACCTCGCTTTTTATGTCACCTTCAAAATTTTGGATCAATGCTCCTTTCTTGAACCAAATATTGTTCGTGGATAATGTTAATGCCGATATTTGTTTTTGCTCTCATTCTCGACAGGAGTAACTATTTTGTAGAAACAACGCATTCCTGTTCAGAGTTGTGGGTTTCAAATTAGTGTTGAGTGAGATGCATGGGTGTATAGTGATTTACTCCTAGGTAAATGACATATGCCATTGTATACTTTGGACAAAACAAAGTAAACACTCGTAAAGCCATGTCCACGTCTTGAATGTTTTGAAAGCAAAACATTTGGTTAGATAATTAGCGATGTGCAGTTTATAAGAGCCATTGCTTCTCGCCTACTTTCAACACTGCAACGTACAGCCTGCAACAGTTACGACACAGTGTATACAATCTCGGTAATTCACAAACGCGTCGTGTAAGCATACCACCGAAACTTTTCAGATGATGCCTCATCTCAAAGAAGATGCGGACATATTCGTAAAGTCGCTGGAAAAGCACGCAGATACCGGGGAAGAAGTGCACTTGCTTCGCAAACTGGAGGAGCTCTCCATGGATTACGTGGCACGAGGATCATTCGGCATTGACGATCGCTTTCAAGGGAATCCTGGCCACCCTCTCGTTGCCATCGCCAAGGCCACCCTAAGGGGCACCATGAGGGGCCCTCTTCACATGATCGCACGTGAGTGCTATACGTATCAAATTTTAGAAAGTAAGCAAGCGACCTGCAATGGAAGTTACTGAATGAACACATAGGAGGCCTTTAATTAAAATCCATACTAAATGAAACCACTGAAAGGTTTTTATGAGGAGGGGGGGGACTATTTGGTTTATGTACACTGTGGCAAAACAGCGCAAACGACCGGACGGAGTATATACAGGGCAATATGGTGGATGTAGAAGAAATGTAATGCACGGGGGTTTCAGGAGGGCGCTAGCTGGCTCATGTACATTGTGGCGTATACGCATATTCTTTGTGTTATCATTTGCTCTGTTTTACCAAAGTGAATAAAAATTTCAGGCGGCATGAACTCGTGTTGTTGTCTAGGAGCCGTCGATGAATATAGTGCTAGGTGAACGCAAACACCGGAAGACACAAAATGCGCAATGATCTGTGTGCACGTTTTCTATCATAGCATACTTTTCCCCCTGGCGATATGGTATATGTATGCAAATTTGGATATAAACATTATGTTGTGTATTAGTTCCCGTGTCATGGGTCTTGTTTATGTGTCACGTTTTTTATCTATACGATATCAACATGTCGAAATTTCAACCAAGCTGTCTATGAGTATATATGCTCCATTCCACACATATTCCCTTTCCTACGAAATAATATGGTGAAGTAATTATCTTGTAGTCGTACGGTGTTGACTCCCACCAAACGCCATTTTTTTTCAGCTATGTCAGATATCGACTTATATTTATTGTACATCGACACCGGCATGACGTACAATGATTGTGACACGGGCGTACATTTTCTCACGTAAAGTACTTTCTCGCTCACCGTATTTTCCTTTCTTTTTATTTATATTTTTCAGAGAGCACAACAACCTTCGGACCAATCATGAAGCCTTTCTACTGGCTTTCTTCCCTCCTGGGAGAGTACACATTTGAGAACCTGAATGAGCAGACAGCCAAGATCATTAAGCTGCGAAAGAGTGATCCGTCAGTGAGTGGATTTCTTTCTGCAACAGTAAATTAAATATGCGTACTGGACACACACAAAAAAGGCCCTCTACCTGTATTACATGTTTGCATCAAATTTATGCACATATCGCAAGTACACAATTGTGAGCATAGTGAGAGATTACTACAATTTAAGGGAACTGTTGTCAGCCACCTTGGCCGGTAATTGTTGCCGTCTGCTGCCACCTCACGTCTACCAACCACCAGAGAAATAGAAAGGCGAAGTGATGGGACAAAAGGCTGGTTTACCAGGTGTCGTCACGTTTTAGTAGCACAGATAATTGGGCTAGTCGTTATTGTATAATGTTGAAACTGTGTTCGTGTGTGTACTTCATCTAGTCTTAAATTGAGTCGTTAAGTTTGCTTCTATGACATCTGGGGCAGGAAAATAATATACATTTTAGTCGGAGAAAAAACATATGGCTCACCAGAACTGAAATTTCTCAGAGCGTGTTGCGTAAAGGCGTTTCAGCTATACATTGCTCAATATTTACCGGTTTTCCCTGAGCATTTATTGAAAAAAGGTACATATGATTCTTTGGAAACGTGGCATGATGCAAAGATAGCGCGCGAAATGCCTGGCATGGCTAGCTACATTTATTTGATTCGAAAATGAACTTCTGCGTGGTTATTTATATTTTAACCGTAAAGAAATAATTGCCTAATTGAATTAGAAATATCTATAACTGGCGAGGTATTATTACACGTTCCTAATTACTTAAACGCAAAGAAAATGAGAACTATGCGCAGTTATGATGGTAAAAAAGTATCACAGATTGTTTTCTGGTTTTAAAATCCGGAATAGTGTCATCAAGCTAAAGCACTAATTGTGATTTGTTGCCTTGCGTCGAACTAGCCATTTGTATGTTTTGTTCTCCTGCAGCTGCGGAAGCCTGACATTTTGCAAAATCTCCTCGACGCTGAGTACGTTGAAGTACAAGAGGAATGTCGGGGCAACAAAGTTGCCAACGGTAATTATTCAGATTGGTGTTTTGTTTTCATTGCATTTGTTCAACGTAAACAAAACTAAGTAATGCTAGTAAATGGTCAGCAACGTGTTTAGGGAAGTTTGCAGTAGCTCCTTTAAATACAACTCCAATAAGCGAGAACGTCCGCTTCATTCGAGTCCCACAAACGGTTATAGTCAATGTGTGTGGCTAAACACAAGCTCCCTTGCCAACGGAGAAGGTGTCTCGAATGCGTGTAAAAAGCAGAGAATTTTATACAAACACAGGCATGATAACTGCTACAAATACATTTCACTTACAGATGTCGGTTGCTGTGAGATCCGAATGTAGCGTTTTATCATTAATTTCCTTGTCGTGGTAGCGTTCATTACTTGACAGTGTACACGATCCATCAAAGTACAATTACTTCGGTTGGAAATGACTGAGCAGTTAGAAAAACAACTCCAAGCTGTCGTGGGATATTCAGGACACAGGCATGCGCACAAGAAGGGGGGCACTCCTTTTTTCCTCCTTAAGGTTACATCCAAAGAACTGTTGACTCCCCACCTTTAACTCCTGAGAGCCATGAGTTAAAATTCAAGTGGTCACTCGATTTTCCCTTTTATATCAATTTCGGAGCACACGTTCGTTCGAACACGGACAACTGGGAGGGCGGGGGTGTGGTGTGGTGATGCTTGCACGTCTCCTTCTTATGGACAACTGTGCGCGCGCTTATGTGTCAGGAGAACCTCACCGTTTAACTTCTGCACAAACAAACAAAAACGTAATGACAGTCCCGTGTTCATTTCTGTTTATTGCTTATTTCATAATTAAGAATATAAAAAAAATTATTTTGACCTTGCTTCCGATTGATTACACTGTCGTTTCCCAGTATGAATGTCACTAACCAAAAATTTTTTTTGTTTCTTATGAAAATGAACTTAAAGCCTCAAAACGTTTGCACTAAACATTCGCATTCGTTTCGTTTTTTAGGAAGCCTTAGGAGCAGAGCTCTAACAACTGAAGAAATCATAAACGCCGCTTCAGTACTCTTCGTAGCCGGGTAAGAACCAACATTCTATAACACATTTTAACTAAGCAGTGTTGAAGTTGTTGAAGCGCGCCCAAGGATACGTTTTATATGTTAATTGATAACACAGACTAGGCATTGTGGCACAGCTATACGCTTGCCTTAGGGATACCACGCAAGTTATCCGAATTCTAAATTGTCTACCCTAGTTTTGAAGCACTGGTTAGCTGGATGAAATGCTTAAATAAGCATATTTCCTTCGTGGAGTTCAGAGAATATTTTTTGGTGGTTCCTATACTGTCCACATTCTTCAACACCTAATAGTACGGTATGGAAAAACTTTATCTAGGTATTTATTTGGGTATTTAGGAAAAACTATTAGCACGTAGCGGGCCGCTACCACGTCGGGACCTGATATAAAGAAATAATAAAAGATCACATAATGCATGGTAAGGAGGTCAAACAGGAAGAGGTCAAGGAATGTAAACACGGGCAACAATAAAAAGTGCCTTTGTCATAACGATTATGTCCCTAGACATCCCTCATAGAGCCACGTTTAATCACACTGTCTCCATCGGTCGGCACGCCTCATCCCAGCTTACATTTGAACTACTGCATAAATCTGCTATGATAAACGTTGCTCGAATGAACGCAGGTTTGAAACCACAGCAACAGGCCTAAGCTACATATTCTTCGCCCTTGCAAAGCATCCGGACGTACAAGAAAAGCTTCGGCAAGAAGTCATCGATGCGGTCGGCAGAAATGTAAGTGACACCGGCTTTAGGTAGAAAATCCAACTGTTATCCGCGATTTTTTTTGTAGCTCTGGGATGTTTTACCTGGTATTCCTACAGACAAAAAGCGATGTTTTGTTGCATAAAAAGATGAAGAATTGACTTATTGTCTTGCCGACAGACATTATGGGCAAATTAAGAATTAGAATGAAAGTGACAGAGAAACACGTGGACAAGTGCGCAAACATTGTAACCACAGATTTGGTTGAATGTCCTATGGGAGCCTTACTAGCCTGTTTCGGTCGTTGTTTAGCAGCAGTTTTTTTTTTCTCCAGTATACACACGTCAAGTTTATTTTCAAGTCATGCGGAAAGTACCTGTGGGCATTATTCTCAATGCTTTGCAGATACCTGCTATATACTTGTTCACCTTTCAAAACACAGCCCTTCTTTTCTTAGTATAAAAAGAAAAAGGAAAGACAAGTTCTGTCTATAATAAATTCATATTATAAGCAGTATAAGAGTGGAGTCTGGGCCAGCAACAGAACATGCACTCTATCAGATGTACTTTACACGGCAAGGGTACATTTAATTATACTGGGCACTTCCCCTGAGGATAATTTTTAAACATCTCCACTTGTCTTTAAAGTACACCGTAATATGCACAAATAACACAGATATACAGACGATGCCATCAAATACACGCGGAAGCAGATGAAAAAGTATAAAAGATACATAATGTGATTATTGTGGAAGAGAAAAAGAAATCAGCTGTACGGCGTGACTGAAGGCAGCAATATCATGAATTTATGCCTACATGGCGAAAAAAAAAAGATTACAATGTAATGTAGCACTATTTCTTAGTTATGGATTTGTACACAAGCTTGCCTCGATGCCTTTTATTATGAACTTCTTATAGCACAGGGTAGCCAGCCAGTCTGAGAACTGGCTAACCTCCCTGTCCTTCCTCTTTCAATCCTCCTCCTCCTTTTCTCCTTTTATTGTAATTACGAGTTCATAGAGCACTACATTAGCTCAAGAATTTCAAATATAGGTCAAAATATAAATGAATAAAAATCGCATTATAATTCATCAATGGATTATGAATTGGTGCAATAGCCCTCCAAATGCTACAGTTAATTAGTATTCCGGACAAATGAGTGAGAAAGGCATCAGCTTGATTTGCGTTATTTGATTTGACTGCTTCATTGATCAGAGGGATAGCAAATAAAATAAATGAAATCAAAAGCTAAACAGAGATATATATTCAGGCATAGTTAAGCTCTTGCAAGCAAATTGACTGGGTTAGGTTGAAGTTCTAAACTTTAATAATAACTCTACGTCTAGTTTCGCGTTTATCTTGGAACTTTCACATAAACTCAAAATACGAGCTTTCAAAAAAAGTTAATTCGTCGCCCAGCACAGCATTCCCGAAATACTTTTTCCCAAAGATTGTTGGGTAGGCAATGAAATCTCCACTTGTGATAAGTCGGTGTACTAAAAAAAAGCACTAGTAGATTGTTCCACTTTACTTTATGACAAAATCAGAGTAGATAAAGAAAATATTGGTTAAAGACTAAGTTAGAAAATGTATACGTCTTTTGTAAATGATACAACATTCAACGATTACTTATTTACCTTGTTAGGGTCCCTTAGATTATGACACAGTTATGAAGAAGCTGAAGTACTTGGAAAAAGTAGTGGACGAAGGGCTGCGCCTTTATCCACCTGGACTAACGTGAGTACAGTTTCTTTGAGTCACTGCAATGCCAGCATATGAAAATTTAAGCCAGCACAACACTGTGAGCCTGTTATACAGCGAGGGAATTTGGTTTGGAAAACTTCATTAGCTAAGCAAGGATGTGACAAGATAATTTCTTTGCTCATAAAGCATTTTATAATTTCAATTTTAAACGCATCTCACCATATTTCATAAAAGGACTTGCTTAGCGCACCGCGGTGTGTTATGTTACGTTGCAGAATTATGTACAGTCGCAGTAACCAGAATTGGCGAATCACAATCTTTTTTAGTGCGATGAACGCTACTAATCTAAAAAACTTTTTTTTTGTCTCGAGTTATTCTACTGCTTTAAAAATATGCTAACCAGAAAAAAAGAACTCCCCTCGCATGATCGAAATGAGTAATAAACTTGGCACGTACTCTTTTTAAATTCATCAGTGCTTAAAAGCATCAATCCACTTAAACGATAATTGTTCGGTTGCAAAAAGTGTCCGCGATAAAAAAGAAATTAACTTTAATACGTAAGCAGTATAACAGTATGTAAACTTGAAACATATATAAGTTACAATAAAACAGCGGTCGCCAACCTATTGTGGTGAAGGGACAAGTTGCATGAAGCTGATACAGCGGGCGGCCACACGAAAAATTCGGGGAGAGTGGTACATGCAGGCAAAGCGTAAAAATTTGACGAATTGATGCTAATTTGTGAAACTATAGATACGAAATCATTTTTATTTTCAACACGGATGTCACAAAGTTGCAACAAAACATAGGCTGCCCATCAAAATGCCACTTGACGTCAAAACTGCAACTTTTGTCTTCAGATATGATCAGCCACTTCTTGCGCAAAATTTCTTTGACAAGAGACGCAACAGACATGGGCGGACGCAAACATTTGTACCTGTTGAGTCTGTTGTCTAAAAAACTTTGGGCAAGAAGTAGTTTATCATGGACTACCAACTACCTCGAACTCACGCCTTGTTCAGATAGAAAAGGGCAAAAGAAAGAGGGCACAGTGTAGGGGGGAGTTATGACGCAGTGCCAAGGGCTGCAAAATACTGCCACGAGGGCCGCATATGGTCCGGTGGCTTCAGGCTGTTCCCCCAACCCCACCCCCCCTTCTGCAATAAAACACAGGTTCTCAAGCATGAGATACTTTCTGCCTCGGGAAATGTGCGTCATGACTGATATAAGCTCAAATTGAAAGCTTCCGCGGTTGACTCATCCTTGATCCGTCAAAAAAATTTTGAGCCCGCTCCAGCTTCGCGTTCGAGAGCAGTAGGGTGCGATACGCAATCTGGCACCCTGAACACAGCCTTCTGAAATGCTAGCCTATAGATTTGGTTGTCGGTGCATGCTTGACAGTGCAATTGGGAAGCGAATGACTGCGCGCGTAACACTGACCGTTTCAAATTATCGTAGGAGGCTTATTGCAAGTGCAGTTGTTGTATGCCCATTACGCCATGATGCTTTTTTTTTTCTGAATCAGACAAGGGCCCGCTACGCGTGCATAAGATAACACGCGAACATACTCGGTTGCTCCCTTTGTTGATGTTTTTGCAGGTGATGATGACGTAACATGTGTGAGCGCTTTGTAATGGGTGGGCCTTGAAAACAAACCTTCGTTGTGCAATCCATGCGTCTTTGCTTAGTTTTGATGCCTGACGCGATTCTACGCCTCTGCCACGCAATGTTGCATCCGTTAATGAGACTCGTTTCCTTATAAGACATTCATATAGTTCTCTCTCTCGAAGCAATTTGATAAAATAGCTAGATGCCGATAATAATAATAATAATAATAATAATAATAATAATAATAATAATAATAATAATAATAATAATAATAATAATAATAATAATAATAATAATAATAATAATAATAATAATAATAATAATAATAATAATAATAATAATAATAATAATACAGAGTTACAAGTCCGAAAACTACGGTAGGAATACGAGAGACACTGTAGTGAAAGTCTCCTGAAATTTCGACCATCTAGTGTTCTTTGACATGCACTGTCATCGGACAGTACACGGGCCTCCAACATTTCACCTCCATCTAAATACGACTGCCACGACCGGTACCGAACCCGCGACCTTCGGGTCAGCAGCCGACCATATATACCACTGTTCCGCCGAAGTGGACAGCGTGGCTCTGAGGTAGAACACCTGCTTGACGCGTAGACCACCTGGGTTCGACGCTCACTCACCCCCGTATTCACAAACGCTCCTCGACTCGACTTTCACCTTTCTCTTGACAGAGTTGAGCACTGCGCCACCGCTCGGCTCAAAATGACACTGCTCTATTCGAGAATCACAGCAGATTATCGCTGATATGCAGTCACTTGCGGTGCCTAGAGATGGCGCTTCCATCGGCTTTTTCAAGTGAAGGTGAAGCGTTGAGTGAAGGGACGTTTAGAAAGGGGGGTCAGACCTTATTATTATCTTCACGAATTTTTCTGTCGTGGATGAGGTGACGATTCATCGTTCACAGCCAACGACACGGACACCGTAGTTTCTGCTAAACGATCTCTATACCACTGTCACATTACTATCATGCTCAATTGACCCTTGATGCTCGTGTCATTCTTCTTGCAGGTTTGTGACGCGGCAAGCCAAAGATGACTTTGAGTACAATGGCATGAAGTTCAAGGCTGGCACAAACTTTATGGCACCGCTATACCAGATACTAACGGACCCGCGATATTTCCCTAACCCTATGGAATTTAATCCCGATAGGTGAGGTTCATCTTTCCGTACATTCCTACACACGCTATCTTGGTTCATAAGATCAAGTCACAAGGAAAGCAGGTCTGCCTGCAAAGAAACAGAACGAAACTACAAAAATGCCATAGAAACAAACGTATCGCTTTTTTTAACAGTGTACAGTTAAGAACAATAAATGCGGGCAGCTTGAACTATGTGCGCGCAAAGCTTGCCACAGCCAACCACGGGCCCGTCACCACTCGCAGTCATCGTCTAGCTTCGAGAGGCTCGGCTTCTTTCTTGGGGGTAATCACTTTTTTAGGACGCTCCATGACTCTCTGAACACGATCGGGTGCAGCCAGGCTGAAGAGCGGAGCTTGCTCGTGATGTCGGTGGGTGTGGCTTAGCTACTGCACGCGCGCAGCTTGACTATGTTGTGTGGTTTCTGGTCGCTAGATGAGTTGATTTGATTTCATTTGACTCCTCTATAACATATCACATATCCACTCGAAGGGATAGGCCATGAAAGTACCGAGTAAGTTTTCTATGAGGCCTCAAAAATGCGTGTAAATGAATTTATATTGATCTATACGTGATGCTTGCTCCCTCTTCCTCTCTTTCTTTCCTCCTTCTACCTCTTTCTTTCTAATCTCGGCTGCGGCGGCTACATTTCCGATGAAGGCGGAAATGTTGTAGGCCCGTGTGCTCAGATTTGGGTGCACGTTAAAGAACCCCAGGTGGTCTACATTTCCGGAGCCCTCCACTACGGCGTCTCTCATAATCATATAGTGGTTTTGGGACATTACACCCCACATATCAATCAAACCTCTTTCTTTCTCTTTCATTGATGCCCTCTGCCTATTTTTTTCTACATTTATTTCTTGCTCATTCCGTTTATTCTTTGTCAAAAGTAGTGCTGGAATGTTTTAAACAACAACGTATTTACCAACTGGCCCCACAACTTGTTTTAGAGAACTGTGGACTAAAGAGCACACACCTTACTGGCCAAGAGTGTGTGAAGTAATGGACGCCGCTTGTTTTACTTTATTTAAAAACATTCCAATTTGACGGTGACAGAATCAATCGTCGCCGCCGTGAATCATGCTGCCAGTTGGCATTTTCGGAAGCTTGGAGGTTTTGCAACTATCACATTTTCAAACAGTGGAGCAGATGCAGCCAAACTCAAAACACGGCCGAATAATGCTAATAAATGACAAGTGCGGGACTTTTTTGAAGGTTTAGTACCTCCTTGGCATAGAGCGGGACACTAAACCTCATTTAAGGACAGTCCCGCGAGTTGCGAGACGGGTGATCAACATCACTCAAGTTACCTACGAATCGCTGATTTCAATGGAACGTAAAACTGGCCTCACCTACCTTCTTTCGAGCATATTCATACGCTAAGTGTATAGAAAAAGACATATTACCGAGTCATGTGCAACGTTTGTCGCTTTGCAACGTTTGTCGTTTGTGCTGTAGATTCCTAGGCGTCGAACTCGACAGTAACTTGAAATACCACCGACATGTAGCATATATTAGGAAAAAAATGACGTATGGCGTTCGACTGCTGATTAAATCTCATATTTATTTCAATCCATCAATACTTATGTCACTGTACTTTTCTTTTGTTCATTCGAACATTTCTTATTGTATTACTTCATGGGGTAACACATACACCACTCATCTTACTTCAGTTCAGACAACTGAAAAGCAAGCGATAAGAATTCTCACGTCAAGCCCATATCTCTCTAACGCTAAGTCACTACTTCACGAAAACAATATATTAACTGTATCTGAGCTACTTAAATGTAACCCTGGTATTTACATGTATAGAACTATAAATAACGAACTTTCACACTTTACTACCATTCTCTCAAATAACTATGTCACAAGGTTTGCCCTTAACAATAACTTTCCACTGCCAAAAGTTCGCACCAATTACGGCAAACAAACTATTCATTTTTCCGGAATTTCTTTTTGGAATAGTTTACCTTTCGACATTAAAGTATGCCGTTCCCTGAAGGTAATTAATTCGAAGTTGAAAAAAACATATCATGTCAACTAACTAGCCTGTTTTGCTGTTTCTTAATTGATTCCTGTTCATTGTGAGTTGCGTTCTGTAATCACTTGTCATTGAAGTCAGCGCGTTATTCTTGCTTTTAAATTGTTTTTGTGAGATTACAAGGGTATATTCTTTCTTTATTTGTTTCAATTGCATTTTACTGTAGCTCTGTCTACCTGCTATGTACATCACAATCAATCTCAATTCTACATTGTACAAGAGGTCCCCTTGCAGTCTCTGACTATGGGACCTCTTTCTGTATATCATGCACATGTATTTTTCTTCATTTAGCACAATAAAACCTTCTGTTCTGTTCTGTTTGCTGCTTCATCGATCAATGTTGTTTGCCCTTTTACTGCGTAGGTATTCATCGGGAAGTGAAGCCGCATTTACGAAAGCGGCGCACATCCCCTTCGGCGTTGGGCCTCGCAACTGCGTTGGAATGAGGCTGGCTTTGCTGAAAATAAGGTACACTGTGGCCAGGATGATCCAGAAGTACAGGTTGGAACTCGGTCCCTCTCAAAAGGTGCGAATAATTTCTTTGCGTCACTAAGCAACCGCTCATTAGCCTCACTGTTTAAGTGCACACTTGTGGTCTGTAAAACCCGCAACAAGTGCGCCTTTTGCAAATTACACCGATGTCTCGAGAAAAGACGGAATCTCTTGCGAAAGCTACATTGGCACTTTTCAATACGATTCTGCGGCTGATCGCGTATACTCCTTATAGCGAGTTTTAAAATTACGTACGTTCCGTGTGTAACGGCGTTGCGTACGTTACGCACAGAACGTTGCGCAGTGCTTTATGAAAGAATTATACAGCTGTTCTGCACACGCGCTTTATGAAAACGTGGTGTTGTTGTGCAAGTAAGACCCCTGGGGACGTAAAGTGCGCAGCAATAAAACCTGCTGTGACCTAGCGCACACAAGAAACAGTGATCAGGGCTCCAATCTATCATCGACCAATTGGATTCGGCAATGCAGTTTGGCCAAGCTTAAGTCTAAACAACAATAAAAAGTCACAGCATAGCCACAGAGTGAATGATGATGAGTAGGGTAAAGCGCCAGAGGGTTTCATCGGTAAACCGTGAACCAACCGTGAATATCGCTCAGTACATCACCAAAGACGTGATAAACACTGTATATATTTATACAAGAAATTTTATTATTTGTAAGTGGTAGCTATACGGTTCTTTGATATATATGTCTTGTTATCTAATTACTTTCCCGCCCCTATTTCATTTTTCTGTGTATTTTGTACTAAATCGAACACTGCTACATCTTTTGAGGTAGCACGACAGGTAAGAAGTATTCAGGATAACGAAACATTTATTATTTATTTATTTATCAGATACTGCCAGCTGCCTTTTGGGAGCCATGGCAGGAGTGGGTACATCACATTACAATGTTACACATTGCATCGTTTCAGTCGACAACCGAAATAAAGAAAAGAAAAATAGAACAAATGCACATATGCCTAATGATAACGACACATGCTGCCGAATGTGAACTCAAGACGCGAACATAAAAAACAAGCCCAACAGCATGTGCAATAATACACTGAGGTAGGACACAGGAACAAAAACAAGAAAGTCAAGAAAAGCTACATTTGACAGCTTTTCTTGATAGCCAAGAAAAGCTGTCACACGTGCTGTATGGACGGATATATTGAAATGAGGCGAACAAAAAGAACTATGTTTTGTCGTTTCAATGAAGGACCGCCTGATAGGTTTGTTTCTTTATTTGTAAGACATGATTCAAACAATATTCACACTGTATTTCGTTTTCATTAGGGAACCATGGAAATGAGCCAATACGCGATGGTGTCGACGCCTGCAAGGGGCCCCTGGATTGTTCTGCACAGTTTGGCGAACGAACGCGGAGGCAGCTGATGCGCATCACTCGCACTGTAAATAGTCACAAGCGATCATTACACCACGTCGACTTTTATTCTGTGACTTCTCAACGCCACAGAGCTTCAAATTTACTCTAGAGGTAAATTTGCTACTGAAAGGTATGGCGCTTCAGCCGGTGTGGCAATGATGAGGCAACATGTTTAATTTGCCTAAACTTCGCTCTGTCGCCTTCATGAAGTTCCGAGCCATTTTATCACAATGTTCACATTTCGAATGTTCACATGTTTGCAAGTTTCAAAGCTCACATGTCTCTCTTCACCACAGTGACGCTTTTAGGCTGATTTATTCAAATCAGATCCCGATGTTTACAGAGACTCACTCTTTTATCTCAAAAAGGCGAAAACAAAAAAAAAAATTTGGAGTTGCAAGCACGAAGACCAGGCAAGTGTACCTACTATTGATAATTCCTACAGTGAATGACCGCAGCGCCACAGTTCCTTCTAGCAATTATATCAGCAAGTTATATAGTCATCAATATGTGAGTGGCTGTTGTCGTCCGTGTTACGATGAGCATTAAACCATCTTATTGAACTTTTGCTGCTTATTTACTTTTCGTATGAATAATGAAAGCAACTTTCCAGCACAAGTTACATTTGTCCCCATGTGAATCTCGTGACAATGAGTGGGATTGATTTGGAAGAAGAAAAAGAATGCTCTCTTGGCACGTTGCACACAAAGTCTCTTTCCACAGTCATGGTGTTTCACGTTAGTGCTGAGGTTAGTCTCACAGTCGCGATGACAACGTTTTTGATGAAGCCGGAAATGCTTGTAAGGCTCGTGAGTAGATTTAGGTGCACATCAAAGAACCCCAGGTGGTCCAAGTTTCGAGAGCCCTTCACTAGGGAGTCTCTCATAATCATATGGTAGTTGGGGGATGTTAAGTCCCTCCAACTAAGCCCCCCCCCCCCCATCCCCGAAAATAGAGGTAAGTCTTACAGTGTACATAAGACATGGCTCATAAGCAATTACGATTATTGCATAACGAACGAAAGTAGAATAAAACGCGTAGCTACCCAAGGCTGTACACAGGTGTCCTGAGGCCATGATTTAACGACAACAATAATAAATACTCTGAAAACATTCCACTCCTTTCTTTAATATTGATTGGTAAGGAACAACTGTTTAAATATTCGTCAATATTCGTATCCTTAAGGAGCACATCTATTACAGCCTTTGGGCCTGAAAGGCCTCGAAGCTGCCACACGTGCTATTTTCACGCCTTGACGATTTGTTACCATGACCAATTGCACTCATTGAAAACTCAAGAACCGCTCTTCACGTCACAGGCATAATTTTTTTTTAGTGTATGAATTTTCACTTGAATGTAGTGCGTGTTTTAGGTCACTTTACAGCTACGTGCTAACAACGTAAACCATTAGTCATTGCGAACACCACTGTTTAAGTGAGGACATTCTTTGGCCAGGCTTGGCGCGCACGTCATTCAATACTACATATAATCATCAAGACGTACATTCCTCGCGAAGGGCCCATTGGGACTCCAGCTCAGTAAAATTTCCTTAAGGCGGACTGGCTAAACCTCACGGCCCCGTTCGAGTTTGAGTGAATTTGAGTGAGTCGGTGCATGAGTCAGATTGTTGACCTAAGTTCAAGGCTCTTCTGCCACATCAGAGCATACAATTTTGAATACGAATGGACATTCAGTGAAGATATCATCCACTGACGTGGACGTTGATAGCGTCATTTGCCATTGATGCGCAGGAACACTACAGACGGCAACCGCCAAACTGCCATTTGACAGAACTTGAATGCGCACCAGACGCCGATGACGATTCTGCGTATACAGATGTGCCGATAAGGCAAGCGAAAGATTGATAACAAAAGATACCTCAACTGCCTGCATTCGAATCAGCACGTACTTTGTGCATGGCTAGAGCTTAAAGTTCTATGACCTTCTTCTTGAGCTGGAAGCTCAGTGCTGTTATAAACATGACCAATCACGTGAAGGCACTTCACGATAAAGGACTCCATTGCGGATGTCAATCACTTGTTCAAAAGACTCACGCTGTCTCAAGTGGCTCGGCTGCGGGTTTGGCAGTCTCATATGTACCCCACTGTTTGACGAAGTTGTCTACATCGGAACTGACGGGTCAAAGTGCAAACAGCTGCAAAAACGCGACCCGCCGACATTAAGACTACCGAACCCTGAGTTACCCAAGGTAAGTGCGTAAGTTCGTATTGCTGCACTGTGTGGATCATACTTTCGATAAAAGAACTCAGCAGCGCGAGAGAGAAGCGCAATGGACGTGACCGTGTCTCGCCTCAGCTACTCTCTGGACTTGAAGCTGACAACATGGCGTAGCAACAATATAACAAGAACAGAAAGACACTATGGAGAGCCAGGTAAGAGAAAAATTCGAAGCCAGTGAAAATGAGTGTGATATTACACACAAACACATGCACACACTTATCACAACACACACACACACACACACACACACACACACACACACACCACACATACATATATATATATATATATATATATATATATATATATATATATATATATATATATATATATATATATATATATATATATATATATATATATATAAGCTCGAAACTACTTTCTACATTTCTTCGAGCATATATATATATATGCTCGAAGAAATGTACTATGCACCACTATATAACTAATATTTTTACTTTAACCGCAACATTTCGAAAATTAAGCTGCAATATATGAGACACAATGCTATTTTCCCCAACGTTGTTAGAATATTACTGCAATTGTTTTTGCGTGACTCACCCCTGTAGTATTTTAATTATTCAACATGGAAACATGTAAAACAGAAAACGTGACTACAGCACTTGCGAAAAAAAATTGTGCCTAATAAAAATGCCGCATGCAACATATTGCGATTTTCGCCAATGCAAAAAATAAAGTTAAACCAAAAATAATAAAATAATAAACTATCATAGCTATGAAAGAGTAGCTCCTTGAGATTAAGGAAAAAATGTTTCATAGTAACTGCTCACACCAGTAATAATATATAAATTATTTATCGCAACACAGTTGACCTAGGGTGCCCAAAGTTTGCTGCCTAGTAGGAAACACCTAATTTGTGTGCGATATATGACTCGTATATCTCTATAAACCACAACAATTTTTATTTTTGAATATGATCGCAGATTGTCAAACATTGACCGGGTAAAGTCGATATATATATATATATATATATATATATATATATATATATATATATATATATATATATATATATATATATATATATATATATATATATATATATATATATATATATCGGTGTATGTGTGCGTGTGTGCAAGTCTGCGTTCGTGTATCATGCATGTATTTATTCGGTTACATTTGCGTTTTGTCGCACTGCCAGAAGGCGTCTCAGAGACCACGTTGAAAAATGTGCGTGGTTTTTATCTTCTCCACTACGCAACGCAACGACTCTAGCTGCTTACCAGAAGATGGTCTGCCCTTTCAGCAAACTCATTAAAGTAATTTTTGTCAATTACTCTGACGGTTCATGGCCCTTTTCTCAGCTAAACTTATGCTTGCATATTATCCAACATAACTCCTAGAGTTGTATATTCTACTTGAGGACATAATATATAACTTGGTTTCGCCTTATCCGCAACCACCAATTCAGTGCCATCCTTAAAAATAAACACTCTAAATATTCCGAAACCGGTAGTAAGTGCTACACCGGAACAAGAGTGTCACTTGTTCATAGTGTGACTAAAATATATTATATTGCTGGTTCTGAAAAGAGGCGAACTCTCGAACGAACTGCAGTACTGCAATCAGCGGACTGGTTGTGCACGTGAAACCCATCTATACGCTTACTCGACTGAAATAGATTGCATTCAGAACGCAGTATACGTTCAATTTACCCGAAAGTCTACGCCAGTCACTGACACTGTTTTTCTGTGTTCTACCTCGCCGCCAGCGGAAATAACTGGTACAAGTAAGTGACGTTCAATGCCGCCCACACAGTTTCAGCTGGGCGTACGCTGCAGCTATGTGAACACAGACTGTCAGCCATTTTCAATGAGATTTTGCGTCCAAAGAGTTCTTGCGGACGCTCAAGTAAACTGAACACGGTGTTGAAAATGAAGGACGACGAAGGGGCGCGGACATGAGTAACAGCCGCGGGCACTGCGTTCGGTTCATGAAGTGACACTGAAGGCACCGCCGGTATTTCAGGTCGGCGTCGTCGTTTTGGTGCTCGACAACTCACCGCTAACGATGTGGTAAATGGCTAGCGGAACCGAACTGCTCCTCGGTCACAACAACATCACCCGAGCATGCTGCCCAAGGTCGGCGTCTCGCTCCATCCTTAGCCATCCTGTACAGAGAGAGAGAGAGAGAGAGAGAGAGAGAGAGAGAGAAAGAAAGATAAATGGAGAGGAAAGGCAGGGAGGTTAACCAAGCTTGGCTCGGTTGGCTACCCTACGCTTGGGGTGGGGGGAAAGGAGAATAATAGAACGGAAAGAGATAGAAAAGAATAGGAGTAAGAAAGAGAAGCATGAATAGCCAGCTCGAGACTACACAGCACGGTCTCGCACAGTTCTTTCACAATCGGTCGTGAAGTCTGATGGTCCTTAAAAAGTACAAAAGGGCTTTCGTGGCTTTGCGCGTATGGGAAGACGTCGGCCAAGGTCCCAGGAACTTCTCTTCTGTAAGCGGCCGCGAATCCAGCTGACAGAGCTTGGCTTCCATAATACGTTGTTCGGTCTGGTATGCTGGGCAATGACATAGAATGTGCTCAAGCGTTTCCTCGCAGGCGCAGATGTTGCATGCTGAAGTGCTTGCCATTCCAAGGAGGCGAGAGTACGAATTCGTAAATGCCACGCCCAACCTCATGCGACACAGTATAGTTTCAGCGCATCGTGGGAGCCCGGATGGCAAACGAAGTTGCAAGTTTGGGTCAATCGAATACAGGTGCGTGTTGGAGAAACCTTGCGTATTCCATTGTAGGAGAGATATACGGCGAGCAAGTGATTGTAGTAGCCTTGCAGCGTCCG